AATAGATAAATATAATGGTGAAATGTGAGGAGGAGTCCCAATAAAAAATAATGAAAGTTATATATAGGTAAGTGAAAAAGTATCAAGAGAAAAAAACTAGTGTAAAAAAAGGTATATATCTTAATGGATAAGGATTTAAAGGAATGACCAAGAAAGAATAATAGAGATGAGAGGATAATGCGATAAAGAATAATGATAAATAAATTAATAAAAAAAGAGGGGAAATGAGGAAAATAGTGTAGATTTTTATCTTATATTAGTTAAAACTTATAACATTGAATATGTGTATGAATTTATTATATATTACTGAAATTTTTGTGATTTTATGATCTTTATAAGTTATTGTAATACTAGGAAAATATAAAATACCTAATGATAAATAGAAAGAGGAAAACTGGGTAGAAAGATATATAATGATAATTAAAAATGTCAATAGTGAGTAAAGAAGAGTAATAAAGAGTGAATGATAAGGAAAGAAAGAATAATAACAAATAAATTATTAATATAGGAAAGAAAAGTGATGGCGGACATAGTTTAGAGTGAAATTTACAATCATAACATAATATTAAATAAATATAATATAATATTAAATTAATAAATATGTATAATATTAAAGATAAATTTTAATTAAAAAATAATTATATAATAATATATTATATTATAAATTTTTTTTTTTAAACAAATTGACAAGAGATCGGTCGAACCCTAACCCAAGGAGAGAGAGGATTGCATCATGAGATAGTTAATACTACTTGCCCGCAAGGCTCCATGCTATTATATTATATTATAAATTTATAAAAATAGCATTTTTGAAGATTTTAATCATTTTGGTTACACCATTAGAGACGTAAATAATTGGTTTTGATGCTTTCCAGCTGGCCCGCCGGCCGGAGATGAAATGCCAGGGATGTTAGGTGCGTTTGGCAAGTCGCTCTAGCCTATTCGGTTGGGGTAACCTTTTTCTTTATAATATTAATTATATCTCCACGTGAGAAGAGTTTTTGCTAACTTTTTTTTTTTTTTTAAATTAAGTGAAAAAGCTCTAAAATTATTTATTTTAATAAATTTTTATTAAAAATTTTAAAATAACTCACTTTTAAATAAAAATAAGTTTATTTTAGTTTTCTTTATATATATTTATACATTAAAATTATAAAAAATGGTGATATTGATTTTTTTATTTCTTATTTTTTCTAATATAATTCTTAGCTAGTAAGTTTTTTTTTTTACATTTATTGAAAAGAAAAAATTTTCTTAACTTATGTGGAACCTGCTTGACAATTTTCTTACTTTTTTTGTCCAAAAATAATTATCATTTTTTATTTTGAGTTTGTTTCAAATTAATTGTCTTTTTTTCATTTTTCAACGTAGACAAATATTTTTTTCCTACTTTAACCCTACCATTATTCATTCACATTAATTAATTATTTAATTACAAAAAATTCTGTCTATATTTTATTTCTTTTTTGTTTAAGGGCATTATTATTATTATTATTATTATTATTTTGGAAGTGGTAATTACATTGATAATGTTAGTGTTTGCTCTTAGGTGATGGAAGAGTGTCAATCCAAAAACTCAAACCTCATGTCAAGAAGGGTGTCATCACTTTGCTTCTCAAAAAAAAGCGTGGCCATTGGGGCTACATGGGTGATTGGCTTTTTAAGGATATTGTAAATAAATAGAAATAATCTTTAAATCCTTAATTTAGAGAAAAATTTTAAAAACTTACCATTATTTTGAGACAAAAAAGAGCATTGTTTTTTTTCTATGGCAATTTTTACCAAACATAGAAAATTAATAACTTAACAATATTCCAACTAATTTTCATTACAAAATCTATCAACTTTTTATGCAGTATTTTTTAACTTTTCATATAGTACTTTTTAGAAAAGTTGACCTCTAACCCAACAGATCCACCCATCCTAAGATCTAAACATAAAATCTCCAACACAAAAATTTAAGCTATTAACTAGTAAAGCTTTCCTTAGGCAGAATACCCAAATCCACCACCAAAGTTAAAAAGTAGGAATGGATCTACTCTCAAACAACAAAACTAAGACAAATCCACTTATAAAATTTTTGACTTGAATAAATCACCCCAAATTTAATATGTGACATTAGATGATATCAATCATTCGTTAACAATAAACTTATCAATAGTGTAACAAATTAACAGATTATTGATGTCGTCAGATGTCATACATTAAATTTGAAGTGATTTGTTTAAATTAAAATGTTTATAAGTAAATTTATACCCATTTTTTAGTTGAGGGTATATCCATCCTTACCTAATTTTGGAGGTAGATTTGGACATTTTACCCTTCCCTTATGGGACGGACTTAAAAAATGAATTTGATGCTTTCTAGCATGACGTCAGTTGGTATTTTTTTATAGATATTTTATGATAAGTTATATAAGATAAAATAATCTTATATTTTTCTTAAACTTCTTTTTACTTGAGTTAAGATTCAAATAAAAAATTTTTAATTTAAAATTTTAAACTCTTAGTCAATTATGCCACCCTTGAGAACCTACCAACTAATATTAAAAAGTTGTACTCCTTCTGTTGGAATTAATCATCATTGGAGGAACGTCTAATTTAGTTGTGCATTTCTTGTTAATGAGACTACTGAATCATTTGTTTGGTTGTTCAAGACATTCTTAGAAGCTATGAGAGGAAAACAACCTAAGAGTATTTTCACAAATCAAGATTAAGCAATTGCAAATGCTAGTAAAAAAGTATTCCCTGAATCACATTAATGATTATATTTATGGTATCTTTCTAATAATGCCAATAAACATTTTGTTGGAATTTATGGGAATTTAAATTTCAATTCAAAATGTCATAAGTGTCTTAGTCATTGTTTAGATGAAATGGAATTTCAATCTACTTGGAATGATATAATCAAGACCTTCAATCTAGAGAATAATGGGTGGCTTAATAAATATTTTATTGTAACTTTATTTTTTTTTACCACCATGCTTTATTTTTTTTAAGAATACAAGTTAAAAGAGAAGAATAAATAGAATTGATCAGCATGGTTTATTTCTTTTAATTACCCATGCTAATTTGCAAGCTTTATTGTTTCTATATAGGTTACATGAGACTCAAGAAAAATGGTGAATTGCATTGAATGTAAATTTCATTCTAGCAAAAAAAAAAAAAAAATCTACATTCAATTTGAGAGTATGAATAGTTTTTTCATTGAAATTTGAGTACTGCATTAACTCTTATTCAAGTTATTAAATAATAAGAACAAAAGATAGAAGATACGTGTAAAGGAGAATGAGATGAAGAAAAATGGTTCCTTTGTGAATTTGATTAGTCATGGAGGAATTTTGGGATACGCTACTACTATCTACACAATAAGGGTGCTTCAAACTTTTAAAAAATAGTTTTTCAAAGGTTTAGGCCTAAATTGTGTTGAGATAGAAAAGGATGGGACAAGACTTTTGTATGAACTTGATAAGCCATGTTCAAAAAGAGTCTTGAAAGTGGAGTTTGATAAATCTAATTTTAGTATCTCTTA